AAGCGTGTGCTTTGCGGAGTACCATACCCACTTTGGTGTAATGGTTCCTTCTCTGTCATGGATTTTGACAGGTATAACGAAGATCACCATGTACCTTAGTACACTTGTCCCTTCCTTGTGGATGGTTACAAATGTGCTCAGGGCCTCTTTCATCTTTGTGTTAGAGATATCTAATGCCCCCTAGCATGAATGTGTTTATGCATGAGAGTTTTTATTAAAATGCTGCTTATGCGTACTTTGCTTATGCATTTTTTTCTCTCTTGATTTTTCCACTTATGACATGATGTGATATGAATGATTTGACTTTGTCAAAAATCATTTTATTCATTTCATGAGTTTAATGTTTTTGATTTACTGGATTTATTTGATTTTATTTGGTTTTATTTGTTTGATTTATTTTATACCTTTTATCTCTTCTGTCGGACTATGTGGCTACTTAACTTACAAAGAACTTGAAACCAGGCTAGCTAAAAGGCAGACTGTTCAAGATAAAAATTGTTTATTGCAAAAGAATAATTTTAATGTCCCTTATCTCTTCTGTCAGACTGCGTGACTACTTAGCTTACAAAGAACTAGAAACCAGGCTAGCTAAAAGGCAGACTGTCCGAGATAAGGGTGTTTATTGCGAGAATATTTTTTTTTATTTTTCTATTTTTTTCTGTTGTATGTTTATGCTATGCAATAACCAAATGCAAGCAAACAAATACACACACAATTCACTCATCCGCGAACAAGTAGGATGACCTTTTAATTACGAGGTAGGGGTCTCCTACAAAATAGTGTATATTCAAGGTAGTTCTAGTTTTCCTCACCAAGGTCAGGTCCCCAAGGTGTCCCCATTATAGGGTCCCCACTCTCCAGCCTTCCGACCATGCATGACACTAAGGCCGTAGTCAGTCTTTGTGCCAAAAGAGGAAGGTTATCACCTTGAGTGGTGGTTTCCAACCATACTGGTGGGCTCATGGCCCTCACTACGGCAAATCGTACCTGCCACCCACTGCCTATTGATTTCCCACTTGCCCCTGGGTATAGGGGAAACTGTTGTGTACAAGGGTTTGTGTATAGTTTGTATTTCAAACAATTGCATAAAATAAACAAACAACAATTATTAAAGTCAAACAAATAAAACATGTTATAAAACAAGGCAGGGTAAAAGCGAAATTTTTAAGTCCTTTATTTATCAAACTGGCCCATCACTAAATGGGATCAACTCTGTAGGCTTCCCTAGTGAAGTCGCCATCTGTCGTCGCCGTCAAAAAAGGAGGTCAAAGTGACGCGATGGTTTTGCTTCGACTCACGTTTTTTAAAGTGATGCTACAACACCTTTAGGTTGTCCGATAACCAGGCTGGACCTAAAGGCGAGGTTTTCGAAAAGGGTTCTGGAGTCTCCACCAATGTTTTATCCAGAAACATTAGAAAGGAAGAAAAAGAAGGCGTTGGTTTAGAAAAACAAACTTTGGCCATTATAACCAGAGTTGGGTAAGGGAGTTAGTTACGTGTAGGGAAGGTATTAGCTTCCCTACGACGCCCCTTTCAGGTTCCCTATGATGGACCGTTTATTTTATAAATAAAAACACTAAAATTTCGCTTTTACCCTTATTTATTCGTTTGCGGAATTTAAAATGTTGACTACATGGCCCTAATAGCTAATGCACAGATAGATATAATAAAAAGCGATAAAAGAAGAGAGAAAGTGTAGAAACCTTCGAAGCAAGCTTTTGTATTAATATTCTTGGTAAAGAAAGACACTTTTTGGCAACCTCCATGCTCTATAATGTTGATCGCTCTTTCTCGCAACACTAGAAAACGCTCACTAAGAATACTAAGAAACTCCGGAAATGCTTCGGAGGGATCCTAGGAGAAGAATTTGAGAAAGTTGCAGAAGGGAAAGTGGAAGAATGTCGTGAAAAGGATGAGGTCTCCCCCCCTTTTATAGGAATTCATGCCTGTCAAGTCGGGACCACCGTCTCGCCAAACGGGACGGCGATCTCGCCCTTGGCGATTGGCGAGAAGGTTGTCTTGCCAAACGAGACGGCGGTCTCGCCATTGGCAATTGGCGAGAAGGCCGTCTTACAAAACGAGACAGCGGTCTCGCCATTGGCAAGTGGCGAGACGGCCATCTCGCCAAATGAGACGGCGATCTCACCTTTTGCCGATGGCGAGACGGCGGTCTCGGCCTTATAGGTGGAATTTCTTATTTTTCCCGTACAAAAAACCTTCCTACTCTAATATGAGGCCTATTGGTCTATCCTAGGTACCTTTTAGGCCTTGCCTATCTTCGAATCGGAAGTCGTCTGCTCTTTATTATGAGGTCGGGCAAGATTTGGGGTCTACAATCCCCATAAGAATGCATAGGCAATAACTTGCAAGCAAGAGCCAATATCCCCAGAAAGGGACATTAGCCTATTCAGAGGCAAAAACAAGCACAAAGTCTTCACCACTACTGAAGCATCTGCCTAATCAAGAGGCTCAATTAAGTCAACAAAATCCTCAGTAGATTCCTGCCTAAGATGAAGAGGCAATCATCAACAATCCCCGACAACCAATGAGTTGGATGACTATAGAAAAAGAAAAAAATAAAGAATCCCCAGCAGTCAATAAGCTGGATGGCTATAGAAAAAAGCCCAAAAAACAAGAAATCCCCATTAAACCGGATGACTTAACAGAAAAGTCGAAAACAAATTCTCAAAACAACAACTACTCCCCATGGAGTCGACACATGACTAGAAAGCAGTAAGCCGCCAGCACATCTTTAGTCCAAAGAAAAAGGACTCAAAACTGGATGAGGGTTCGTACTCGTCAATCGCAAGATCAAAGAGAACATCTTGCAGATAACTCACCAGTAATAGAGTCGGAGAGAACACTCTGCGTGCAAGCCAACCATGGGGTCGGAGAGAACATCCTGTGGACGTACCTTACAAAAATTGGATGAGGGTTTGTACTCGTTAACCGCATGATCGGAGAGAAAATCTTGTAGACAACTCATCAGCCACAGAGTCGGAGAGAACACTCTACAGGCAAACCAACCATAGAGTCAAAGAGAACACTCTGCGGACAAGCCAACCATGGGGTTGGAGAGAACATCCTGTGGACGGACCTTGCAATAACCGGATGGGGGTTCGTATTCATCAACCATGAGATCGGAGAGAACATCTTGTGAAATAAACGGATGGTAGTTCGTACTCATCAACCATGAGATCTGAGAGAACATCTTGTGGAATAACCGAATGGGGGTTCGTACTCATCAACCATGAGGTCGGAAAGAACATCTCGTGGAATAACCGGATTGGGGTTCGTATCTATCAAATTAATTACCATTCAGGGGTCAGTGACCGTAACAAAGGCGCATCCAAAAGACGACCGGGCAAAAGGGGTTAACTCCTTCACTTTCTAACTGGTCTCGCAAACATATTGAGCCAGCAGCCGTTTGGCCAGGTGAAGGGGGAGGGGGGTAGCTGTAGACCCCAAATTTTGCTAGCCTCTCAATAAAGATCAGAAGACTTCATTCCAAAGATAGGTAAAGCTCTGTTGAACACCTAGCGGCAACAACCAACTTCCGTTGGAGGAAAGGAGAACTTTCTTGAGAAAATAAAAAGTCAAAATTAGAGAAGAAACTTGGGATGGTCATCCCAAATGTCAGATGCCCGTCCCAAGTGACACTTTTGCCTCCAAACGTGCTTCTAGGATCTGAGACGCATGTCTCAAGCTTCCATGCACCTTAGGACGGTCGTCCCAAATCCCAAACGGCCGTCTCAAGCTATTTTGCACATTGGGACGACCGTCCCAAATGTCCAGACGGTCGTCCCACCTGACAGGAGTTGGGAAGGTCGTCCCGGCGTCTTGACAGCGAAAAACTATAAATAGAGGGCCCCATTTGAAGCTCTAGACACACCTCACTTCTCTTTACTCTTCTATTTCTCGAATGATCTCTCTGATTGCCTATAAGGTAACAATCGGTTAAGGAAATCTCTTCTAAGATATCCGACATTCGATAGTTTTAAAAATTCTTCTTGTATTCGGGAGAGGAGAGTCCTTGTAGTGCGGGAGGATAACCAAAAAGCACCCTCATAGTTGAAGATTTTATATAAAAGCTTGCTTCGGAAGTTCTTTTCACTACTCTTCTCTTTTATTGCTTTATTTATTGCTTTCTTATGTGCAGTAGAAATAAGATCATGTAGAGTAGTCATATTAATATCGCATAATAAAATAGGGTAATGACGTAATCTCTTATAATCTTTATTTTATGAATTAATTCGTCATAAGGAACCCGAGAGGGACGCCGTGGGGATACTAATACCTTCCCTACACGTAACTAACTCCCTTACATGACTCTGGTTATAATTGCCAACTTTGGTTTTTCTTAAAATCAACGCCTTTTTATCCTTTTCCAATGTTTATGGTAAAAACATTGGTGGTGACTCCAAAGAACTTTTTTTGCAAAAATCATGCTTTTCTTAAAGATTAGTTCAGTTGTTGAGCATCTTGAAAGCGATGATCATATTTTTTTAGAAAACGCGAGTCTAAACCATCTTATCGCAATCGCTCGCATAAACATTCGTAACATCCCAAGGCGTCAAAATGGACGGCGGCGACACCCCCCATAGACTATGAGCAACATGATTTTCATATCTGATTAATAAAGAAGGATCTACAGGCCCTCCTGGAAAAGATTTATCTTGTGCTAGTGAATTTTGATATTCTTTATCTATTGGAAGATTAACAACACTTGATTTCTCACAAGCCTACGCCTTATCGAGGTAGTTGGACGAACAGATCTCTGGGTTGAGAACCACCTCCCTTAGTCCTAACTATAATGCAAAACTACACTACAAAAAAAAAGATCATCAAAATATGAAGAAAACATTTACGGAATATATTTCAAATTGGGTTTTCCGAAAACACATTCCAAATACGGAATGCATTTCCAGAAAGTACAATTCAAAAATGCAATCCATAACACTCAATTCAGAATACATTTTTAGATTGGTCTTTCCGAAAACACATTTCGAATTGTCTTTTGATGGAAACGAATTCCATATTGGGTGTTCTGACGGAATGAGGCGAGCTTGCCTTTTAACCCATTTTAAAAAAATATTTATATATTAAAATAAAAATAATTATAATTAAAAATATTATATTTTTTAACCCATTTTAAAAATATTTATATATTAAAATAAAAATAAAAATAATTATAATTAAAAATATTATATTTTAGGTTATGTTATTGAAATATGTATAATATATATATATATATATATATATATATATTTATAATATGTTATGTTATATTATAATATTATAATTTAAATTAAAAAAATTAATCAATTAATTATAATTAGTTATTTTAATATATAAATATAATATTTTAAATTTTATTTAATAAATTATAAATTCTTAAATAAAAACTTAAAAAATATTTTTATAAGTAAAGGTATATTTTAAAAAACAATAATTATAAAAATAAATTTATATAAAAAAATTATTCACAGATTAATCACCTATAACTTATTTTTATTATGACCGATGAAATCCCACCATATTTTGTTGTGAACCAACAGGACAGATTAAATGGAATGATTTTGCATCTCGCGGAACATATGATGACATGCAAGGATTCTTTCATTTGAGCCGCTTGGACCCAAAGATCTCGTGGTGAAGCCGAGAGAAACCTAACAGGAAATCGTGCAAGCAGAAGACAGATACGTACGGGAGACCAATTTTATTGAATGTGTTTCTTTTCAAAAGGATTTATTCATGCAAAAGTGGTACACCTGGAACAAGCAAAGTCCTATGTCTCGCTACCACAAACGGCAAGTATCGGCGAATGATGAAAGAAGGATTGAAGGTAAACTAGGGATCGTTCTTGATACTTACTACTCAAGAAAATATAATGATTGTTTATGGTTCATTTCTGTATTGATTTGCTAGCTGATGAATTATAAAATTTTGATTTTTTTGTTAGAGTTATCTTGATTTTGAAGCATTTTTCATGTCCGAACAAAATGTAGGTGTCACTCTAATATCAACTGATGTATAATTATTTTATATCTTATCCTTTATCGTATAGATACATTCATATAAAATAAAAATTATATTATGTATTCACTTTTAGCAGCCGAAGGATTTACTGGGAACTTATAACTAGCGATGTAAATTTACATAATGTACTATTTATTTCCACTAAAATGACTAATTGAGACTTTCAGCAAATTCAAATAATTAATTTCAAGTGCATCCAGACTAAGGAGCTTGGATTACTTGTTCAAACCTGATACACTCAAAATAAACAAGTAAATTAAAAACGAGTTTAAGACATTCTGCACATATCTATTTATTTTACTAGATGGTATCAGTTACATGAATAGCTATTGGGCCTGATAGTAATTTACAAAGGAAACAGCAGAAATAAAATTGAATTGTCCCAAGCTGCTGGTAAAGAGATGACACAAGCAAACCATTGGTGCAATATAAGAAGGGGACATTGCTAAAGAAACAAAATGATCCTACCTGAGTTCCATAAGAATATTCTAATTTACCTTTCATCTATCATTATTGATGTTTATTTACTGAGATATCAGTTTTCAGTCTACTCAATTTGTCTTCATTCCCAAAGCTGGGTTTGCCTACAGTCTAGCGGGTCTATTCGACGTCCTTTATAGCATCCTGCATTACAACGTTAAAAATGTTGTTATTAGCAGTGTAAGATCAGGCCTTAAATAATGGGAAATGTTGGGTTGACAACCCAAACATCTTTTCCACAACCAATTTATATTAATTATATAATACTCTTACTCTTTTGATCTTCACCAAACAAAACCTAAACTTCCCAACTCCCATGATTAGACACTGTTGCTGAGACGCTAAGAGGAAAACGTTTCGTGTTCGTTTGGTATCAAATGTTAAATATTACAAAAATAAAATATATACGATACCTTTGCAAGTCGTGTGACATATGTAGCAGCTAATGCAGTGGCCAACAGTCCCAGTCCAAGTGTTAGCAGCTGACTGTTTCCTCCAAATATATTATTAAGTTCAGATTCATCTTGCTGCAATGAAAAAGAAGCAATTACACTAAAGAGGCAATCAACGAAGATACTCTCTGTCCATAAGGCACAATAAAAAGTAAAATAAAACCATTATATTGATGAATTGCAAAAGACACGGGCAAAAAAATCACCTAAGATTTGTACATATTCCGCAGGAAGGCAACCCTAACAGAGACGGATCTTGACCATTGATTTTAGGAGGGTCAAATAATATATTATTAAAAAATAATAAATAAATACAAGAGGGTGAAAGAAAATGAAAGAGTGAGTTTAGAGGATAAAATTATAAATATACAAGTAAACATATTAAATGATCATTAAGTTTGGGGGACTAAAATTATAAATTACATAGGAGTTACAAAACTTTGTGGGAGTCTCGACCCCCTTCAGTTCCTAAGAAGATCCGCCACTGACCCCTAGCTTAATATACTTTGTATTTTAAAACCGTAATCAATGAAACAAAGAGATGATTTAACCAACACCTTAACTTTAACCATTCTATTAGAATATAAAGATTCTAATTGTTTTTGGAGTCTTAAAACATTATTAATCTGATTGGACTAGGTCCATACCCGCATTCCACTAGGATTTGCTTAGACTATTAGTATCCACCCTGCTTAAATCCTTTAGATCTCTTTCTATTTCTTTGTTGTTTTGTATGATGGACCCAATATATTCACCATGCTACTTGTATTATGGTATAGTCTCCAATTTTCACCTCTAAGAAAGGTTTGATGAGCCTCGTGATTAACTTACACTTTATACGCTGTGTCTTTTTCTGCTTAATAAAAAGTCATGTACTTCCAAAGCTTGTCTCCATAACTATCCATTTATTTTCTCTGTCAACTCTTCAACTAGGACCAGATCAACAACAAAAAACATACATTGTGATGCCAACTCTTGGATATTCTCCGCAAGCACCTCCAAGACCAACGTAGGTGCTCAAAGTTGACCTTTGCTGTAATCCTTATCATAGGAAAATCTTGTAACCCCACACTGTAAACAGTGTAGCAAAGGAGATCACTTAACCAAAAATATCATGTCAACTATCTTGTAAGATTAGTAGGATTCTTATTATTTTATGTGACTTACAATGACATTAGTTAAATTGGGCTAGATATATAGCAGTTGCCCTACACTAGGAATTGGCTTTTTTTGAAAAACCAGGATAAACCAGAGATTGTGCAAAGAAGAAATAAAGACCACAATCGAAATTAGACAACTGTAAACTGATTCTAACATTGATTCAACCATTTGCAAGAGAAGGCTCCAATTGAAAAAGAGAAAAGTACGAGAGAACATTGAAGAGAATACATGTGTTTGGCTTACACACTTGATACACTCTTAAACAAAATGATTTATATTATCCCTAATTATTATAATTACATAAAGACAAACCGTAACTACTTTCTTTACATTAACTCTATTTCTGTCTCTCGATCTGGGGAATATAAATCATATGCACCATCCCTTTTACACATATAACCTATTTGGGGACCTCTCAATGACTTAAAAAGTAACTCTGCCAATATCTTCAATGATAGGATCAGTGGGATGAAAAAAAAGAGTAGTAAGACTTAGAAAGAAAGAAGAGAGATCTAGAGAATAGAAAGAAAAAGGAAATACAAAAAATGGAATTTTCCTGTATTTCAAATTATAGAGTATGTTATTTATACATGTTTTAACCTTTAACCCATTCTCCTGATTATTCTATTGCTCCCAACCCTAACTATTACTGCTATAATAGGATAACCACAGTGGCCAAACTTGCTCCTTGCTCATAAACTACTATCATACTTGAGAAACTTATTTAGGATTCAATTCAGTGTCTAAAGGCATTGTTCATTGTATTTATAGATAAAGGAAATGCAACAAAGAGGATATGAGCCTCAACCCAAACCCTTAACCCTAGCCTAAGGAATATATAAAGAAAATACAAAAAGACAAATAACCAAACATGTCTCAACACTCCCCCTCAAGCTGGAGCATATAGATTATATGCACCAAGCTTGGAACAAATGAACCGAATCCTAGGTCCTCTCAAGGATATAGTTAAAATGTCAGTCAATTACTCATTGGAGCTTACAAATTCAGCTAAAAGTTCCTTAAACAATAACTTTTTTTTAACAAAGTGACAATCAATCTCAAAATGTTTTGTTCTTTCATGAAACACTAGGTCGGAAGTAATATGGAAAGTTGTCTGATTATCACAAAACAACTTCATCTACCTATTATCACAGAATTTTAATTCTTGAAAGAGTTGTTTGATCCATACAAGTTCACATGTAGCAAGTACCATAAATCTATACTCAGCTTCTGCACTAAATCGAGCAACAACACTTTGCTTTTTACTCTGATATGAACAAAAAATAACTAGACAGGATTGAAAAAATAAATAGCATCTATAAAGATAATTTTGAGATATTTTTATAACACAAGTTTTTGAGAGTCTGTCTCTCCACAATACAATTCTTTCCTAATTTTCTTAGTGTGTCTTTCCTAATCTGGATTACTTCTATTTATATTGCTTTTAACAACCGCTCTCAATTGATACAACTTTTTCTAATGGTTATATCTCTAGCTTTATACGCCTTGTATGGGTTGTAATTGTTGGTTGTTTTGCATCCTTTGAGTATTGTGTGTCCTGTTGCTAGTGGTCTTGGATTGTTGCTTCTTTTGTTCGTTTCTTGCGGGTGTATATCTTGGTGATAGATGGTTTATTCTTATCATATTTTTCTAAGAAATCAAACTCCCTCCAAAAAAGATACAATACCCAGTGGTAGATCTTCTATCAATGGGACAACTAGCCCAATCTGCATCACAATAACCTAGAATTTGAGTATTATTTTTGCCTTCATATAACAATCTTTGTCCTGAGGCCCTTTTAACATATCTTAGAATGTGAATCAAAACATCTCAATGATCAGCACAAGGATTTTGCATAAATTGGCTAATTACTCCAACTGCATAAGAAATATCCGGTCGAGTAATAGTAAGATATATCAATTTACCAATCAACCTCTTGTATTTTTCTGGATCTGACAACATTTCTCTTTTATCTCTCATCAATTTCTAATAAGGGTCCATTGGGGTATCAATGAGTTTACAATTTGTTAAACTTATCTCCTTCAAAATATCAAGAACATACTTCCTTTGAGAAATGATCACTCCCTTCCTTTGACTGAGTCACATCAATACCAAGAAAATACTTCATTGACCAAGATTTTTGGTTTGGAAGTGAGCAAATAGATGATTCTTCAGTTGACTAATCTTAGTATAATCATTGCCTATAATAACAATATCATAAACACAAACCAAAAGATACACACTTGTTGAAGAGGAATGACAATAAAACATTGACTGATCTGCTTCACTCTTTTTCAAGTCAAACAACTACACAACATGACTGAATTTCCCAAACCAAGAATTTCCCAAACCAAGCTCAGTGTGATTGCTTCAAACCATAAAGAGACCGGTGTAGCTTACACATTAAACCAGACTCCTTCTGAGCAACAAAGTCAGGAGGTTGCTCCATATAAATCTCTTCCTTAAGGTCACCACAAAGAAAAACATTTTTAATAGTCAATTGGTGAAGGGGCCAATGACGAATAGTAACTATAGTAAGTAAAAGATGAATAGTAAAAATCTTAACTACTGGGTCATAAATTTGACTATAGCCTTTGGCTACTAAACGAGCTTTGAGACGATCCACTTTACCATTATTATCAACTTTGCATACATCCACCTACAACCCACAACTTCTTTGCTAGGAGGAAGAAGGACAAACTCCCAAGTGCCATTGTGCTCAAAAGCCTACATTTCATCAATTATGGCTTGTTGCCATCAAGGGTGACCAAGAGCCTCATGGACAGTATTAAGAATAGTGGTATCCGCCAAAGAGACAACAAAATAGGAATATGAAGGAGACAAACGATGGTAACTTAAAAGATTATAAATAGGAAAGGGATTCTGAGTGGAACAAATACATTTTCTGAGTGCACTAGCCCATCCATAATCAGAATTGGGAGAGTAGGTTGAAGGATCCATGGTATGCGCAGCTGATGGAATAGGAACTTGTAGGTGGGGTACTACGATGATATGTGAGAAAGGGAGGAGAATCATTATGACCTGTAGGTTGAATTGGAGAAGGAATAGGTATTATAAGCGGATCACATGAGGGTATAAGAAGAACATGTTGAATAGAGGAACCATCCTCCATGGGGAGAAAGAGAAAGGTGTTTCCTCAAAGAAGGTGACATCAGTAGACATATAATACCTTTTGGCGGATAGAGAATAACATTTGTATCTTCTTGGAGGCGAGAGTATCCCAAGCAGACACATTTAATAACCTTAGCACTTAGCTTATCAAGACTTGAAGAGATATTATGTACAAAACAAGTACAATCAAATACACGATAAACACATGATAAAGAGGATCGTCTAGAAAGATAAGGGAATGTGAAATTTGATTTTGAAGAGAAGAAGATGACATTCGATTAATAAAAAAAACAAGCAGTGAGAACTGCATCCCCCAATGATGAACAAGGACATTCAAATTCAAAATTATAGAGCGTGCAATCAAAAATAAGATGCCTATTTTTCCTTTATGTGATACGATTTTGTTGTGGGATGTGAGGACAAATTAACTTAAGTAAAATAAAGTGGGAAGATAAAAAGGAAAAGAAGGAAGCTGAAAAATATTCTTTAGCATTATCACTTCTAAGAACTTTAATCATCTTCCCAAATTGATTTTTAATTTCATTAAACAACACAAAAATAAATAAAAGTTTAGATCTATCTTTCATTAGTACATCTGAAAAATTCATTAAGGTTACAAATATCGAAAGCCAAATGAAGAGACACGACTAGGTCACCAAAAATCAGAATGAATATTTGGAAAAAGGAAAACTACATCGAGTTTCAGAATGATTTGGAAAGGTAGACCTAATATGTTTTCTTAATTGATAAAATTCACATTCTAAAACCCGAAGATGTTTGAGATTAGGAGTCATCACTTTCAACTTAGGTAAACTGGGTGACCCAGATAATCATGCAAAAGTTTAGGAGCAGGAAAAGCAATACATGACACCGAAGGACTTGGATTCAAATAGTACAAACCACGTGATTCATGTCCTTCTCCAATCAGACGACTCGTCCCATGTTCCTGAATAACAAAAGAATTGGAATTAAATATTACAGAACAATTTAAAGAACGAGACAATTAATTTAGAGAAATCAAGTTATAAGGACAATTAGGAATGAAAAAAGGAAAATTTAAATTTAGAGAAGGGTTTAAAGGAACATGGTCAACTCCTTGTGACTTCACTTTAGATACACTAACTACAGATGAATAATTTTAGGATAGGACATGCATAAAAATGAGGAACTATTACTAGATATATGATCAGAGGCACTTGAATAAAGAATCCATGGGTTCTGACCTTCCACATATTGAGAAATACATGTTGTTAAAACACTTGGCATTGAAGAATATTGACCTTGACTACATAATTTTCCTAATTTGAACTTTAAAATCTCCTTATACTCCTCATAAAAAATCTTCATATTTGGTCTTTCA